CACTGTTCGAGGGGTTCATGAAAGTTCGCAAATGACTTTTTAAGGCCTCAAAATCTGCTGAATTTTCCCCAACTTCGCGAATTCGGCGAGACTCTTTATCGCTTCCCTTTGCTTAAAACGTATGCCCGAAAAAAACTTCAGTGAAAGCTGCTTTAACTCATACCTTTTAAGCTGATAAAGAAATCAAGATGCTCCTTGACTGTCAGCCTGTCAAACAGTACATTATGCTGGGGACACAAACCAAGGCTCTCTGAATAGCATCCATGTCTGAAATGATACTCAAACCATTAACGTCAGCAGAGCCGTCTGTAGGCGGAAACAGTCCCGTCAACATCGATATGGTCGTGGTTTTTCCTGCGCCGTTGTGTCCTAGAAGAGCTGTTATTTGACCTTGAAAATATTCAGCGACAGATCATCTACGGCCACCTTCGAGCCTGAAGATCCCTTTGCAATAAAAATGTCGTAAAATGTTAGGTTTAAAAGCGGAAGATGTGAAAGAACAATCGAATTATTTTTCTCTTAAAGTGTGTTACAAATGTAGACTAGAAGTTCGTTATTATACATATACATAACTAGCCTACGAGCAGTCCCCCTTTTTTTCTCTTGGGGCTCTTTCCAAATGTCAGAACTGGCTGGCGGACCATGGCCAGACGAGACATTTTGGCAATGAAATAGGCTTTCTCGAAGAGGTTTTTGCTGAAAAACCATCTCCTTTGTGCATGATATTTACGATGTGACTGATGTGGATGGTTAGTTGAGATTAAAAAGTGAAATTCTCATTACGATGGGGAAGGGCTGGCCGGTCAGTTCTGACAAATGGAAGGCGCCCTTAGTCTGTCGAGCGAAACGCGCGAGATAGTAAAATGACCACGCGCGTGATTGCGACACTCGCGCGCGGTACATTCCCTCACTAATTTTGAAGAAAAGAGAGACTGCTAGCAGTCTAGTACATAACAAGTCTTGAGCCACAACAAACACATCTTCACCGTTGTTCCTTTAAAAATGGGGGAAGGGTGAAAATATCGCTCCATGCAAGAGAATCCAAGACATTCCACGTCGTGGATTCCAGATTTTTTGTCAGTGGGACTTGGGATTCCGGATTCCTTGAGCTGTATTTCGGATTCCAAAGCCCAGGAACCCCTTATTCCACGGGCAAAAATTTCCGCGATTCCAGAATCCGGATTCCCTAACATGGGGCAATTAGTGTAAGAACAACATGCATGTACCTTGAAAACTTTCCGAAGCCTTTTAATGGCAACACCAACTGGCAAGTCCGGTTCATCTTCAACATCTGCCTTTCCATCCGCATCGTCATCAGAAGATTCAGCACTATTATTCAAGATCACATTCATTTCCTGTTCAGCAAATTTAAGCAGATTTAAAAGTTAGAGATCTAAACTCGCTGTATTGTAGTCTACGACTAAACAGGTTAATGCCCCATAAGGTTAATTTTACGTTTCTGGGCAACTGCCCACCTACCCTCCGTCCCCTAAGTCAACATTTTGCCCTACGTGAAAAGTAAGCGTTAATGTTGGTTTGGGGAGGGTAGTCACTCAAATATCCGAGCTACACTGGTCGAGCCAACTTTTCCTACATTTCCTGTAGTTAGAAAACTTGGCGAACCGTATACAGGTGAACATCAGAAACAAAAGTTAGCTCGGCTGGCAGGGTAACCCGCTTTCCCGGGTCACCTTTATTTGATAGCAGGGTAAACCTACTTTCCCGGGTCACCCTTATTTGATAGCAGGGTAACCGCTTTCCGGGTCACCCTTATTTGGTAGCAGGGTAAACCTGCTTTCCCGGGTCACCCTTTATTTGATAGCAGGGTAACCTGCTTTCCCGGGTCACCCTTGTTTGATAGCAAGGTAACCCGCTTTCCCGGGTCTGCCCTTATTTGATAGCAGGGTAACCTGCTTTCCCGGGTCACCCTTATTTGATAGCAGGGTAACCCGCTTTCCCGGGTCACCCTTATTTGACGGGTCACCCTTATTTGACGGCAGTGTCACTCTCGCAGCTGGGCCAACTTTTCTCCACATAAAAATACTAACTCGCCAAGCCGGGTCAACTCGGTCAAGGTACGAGCACCGTTGTCAGCTCTTGGATGGGATAAATGGGTCAACTTTTTTTCTCCAGTGACCGCTCGCTTTAGTTGACTCGGCTGGGATGGTGACCCTCGTTCCCGGGACAATTTCTCTCCATATAAATGGCGCGTAAGTTTTAGTTTGGATACGATTATCTGGGTGAGTGTAGTTTTAATAGGGCTGTTGGTAGACTGAAAAACAGTCGGGTTTTTTCTCAAGATCGGTTTTGCAAGGTGAAAGGGCCGGCGTGATATTTTCGCGAAAGCGCGTGGGCCTCACACGTGTACAGCAAGAGACTGGAAAACGTATCTCTCTTTTCGCGTCTCTCCCCAGTCTCACTCTCCGCTTTTATCCTCACTTCCGGCCTTTCCTTTGACAGATCACGCGCGCACTTAACCTAGACTACAAAACAGTCTGTATTTTCGCCTAGGCTGTTGATGGTGCCAATTGACGTTTTCCACAGACATTGTAGAAGACATCAACAGCCACTTGACCTGTTTCATAACCGCGCCTGGCAGAGTGACAGAAAGTATGATCATGAAATTCATTTTTTATTCGAACATGCCTCATCGTCGCAAGGGCACTTCAGCTAAAACAAACGAGGAAAAAACATTCTTAATACTAGCACAGAAATTTATTTCTTCAACATTCAAGTCCTATACTTTAAGCCACGGTCAATAGGCACAGTACTACTTGACGGATAAATTTGTTAAGGTACTCTCAGCATAATTATTTTCATAATCAATCCTTCCTACTTAGGAACTTTCTAATATAGAGAAGTGTGACGTCACGTTACCATGGTAGCATGGATTTGTTTCTGGATGACAACAAAACCAACGACGACGGCGACGCGACGGCAAGGCGGAACCGCAAAAAATAATACGTTCATATTATCAATCAACAACTTTGGACGTGCATCACGCCATTTTGTACATTTGCCATTGCACCACTACGACATGAAACTTCCTAATTTCAAAAGCCCGCTTTATGGAGTAGGTGAAGACATACAAAAATTGTCGCTTTCCTTTTCTTAACTTAGATACGATAGATACGGTCCGAAAGAAAATTTCGCAAAGATTTGACAAATTAAATGAAATTGAATAAGATCAGTGAAGTTTAAAATAGTGCGAATAGACTTTTAGGTGACTTTTTCGGTTTGTTGTCATCCAAAATTTTTGCTACCATGGCAACGTGACGTAACGACTCCTCCTCTCTATCGTCATTGTCGGGATTTACCTTGGGGCTGTTAACACCACACCAATATGACGGCATACATGGGAAGTAGAATGGTTTGGGGATTCCATACTCTCCGGGAAATACCGCCTCAACATACCTAGTGAAGAAAAAGGTGATGTCAGTGAAAGTGAATTTCTTTCCCTTTTGTGTTCTAGCTATTTAGACCTACATTGACTACCGTAAACTGCCGCTTATAAACTCCTTACTCATAAGTCCCCCTCTCCATTTATGTATGGGCCTATCTAATTGTGAACAAATCTGATAAGAAGCCCCCATCGAGCCGGTATTGAAATGATCATGACGTTTGAATTTTTAATGAAGTTTAGAAGCTTAATTAAAAACCAATACAGTCAACTCTCGCCTTGCGGACACCTCGCTATAACGGACACCCCGATAAAACGGACAGCAGTTAAATCCCAGGAAAAACCAAATTACAGACGTTTGACTGAAATAAACTCCCGCTATTACGGACTCTCGCTAATGAGGACACTAACTTGAGGTCCCTACAGTGTCCGCTATAAAGGGAGTTGACTGTAAATGAAGAACGAATTTTAATCAGCACTATTATATCTTGTTTCGTTATTTCGGTTATAAGCCCTCTGGTCACCCCCCGCCCCCGGTTTGATCTCTATGTGGTTCGTTATATGTACTACAGTACTAAGCCTCCTCCCCCCGGATTTACAGTTCTCTGTTCGTGAGCCCCCCTGAAAAGCCTTACGAAGATGTATCAAACGGAGGCTTACGGTAATCATTCGTGTCTTACTTCACATTTACGGTCCACTCACCAGGTGATAGTGCCAAAAATTGCACACTCAGCTAACAGCATGCAAAACACCCAAACCATATTGAAATTTTCATCGGGTGAAGGGTACTCGGAAACCTGTTTCCAAGAGATTCCAACTCGGATGGTCTCAAACTGCGCGAAGAGTTTGGCTGCAAGACCCAAACAGGTGTTTGGCAACAGACAAGCGCCGGCCTTTTCTGATCTGTAAAGGAAATCCACATATACGTAGACTGAAGTTTACCAGTTGATATGTATGCACGCCCATCGGCAGAGTGGTCAATAGAAGGACTAGAGCGTTCTAATTTAGGTGATGAAAATATCAACGTAAGATCCGACTTGGCAATTCATTACTAGGCTGATTAAGCAACAGAACGGGAACGTCATTTGACGCCGGGAAAGCGCGCGGAAAGGACTAAACTCGACTTCCGGTGCCCAATTTGCTGCTCTACGATTGGCCAAACCAGTTGTTTGATTTGCGCGCGCCGTCGTCAACTGACGTTCTCGTTCTGTTGCTAAATCAGCCTACTAGTTAGTTTGTACCGCACGGCATGTGTGGCACTCCTTAGATAAAATTGCCCATGAAGAGTTCGTTTCAAAGTAAGCTAATACTACATACGCGCACGCAGAATTTGAATCAGAAACTATTGGGTGACAACGGAAGATGTAAAGCTGCTAAGAAGAAATTTGCGCACATGCCTGCAGGAAGTTAGCGGCGAGGGACGAGGAGGGAGAGACGTCTGAATTCGCAGGCTAAAGTATTATCATCACATAGTAGTGTCATACAGGAAGACTAGGGTTCTTTCTAGGAAGTAGTTTAAAGAGCGCAGGCTCAAAATGGCGGGACATTCGACATCGACAAGGGGTCACGATTTTACCAATGTTAAAAGAAAAATTTCCTTCGTCTTTCTTGTTGTATTTTGGTTGTTTCTATAAATTAGACTTGAAACTGATAAGCCGAAAAGCCGTCTATCACTCGTAACCTAAACACATGCGTTTTGACCTTCTATTACGCATCACTTACGCAAAACACCAGCGTTGTAGCAAGGACGTTTTGACCTTCGATCAGAAGCATGAAACTCACTTGCACTTCTTAACCTTTGGTTATTACTAGTTAAGTAAACATGTATTTGGTACCTGGTCATTGCTTTGTATTTACTGTCATTATACACTACAAAGTAGGGTACCAGTGTTGCGATCCAGATAAGGGCACCAAGAAGCATTCCAAGAACAGGACGCGAGAAAAACACACTGCAAAGATAGAAATCAAGTCTCAAATATCAAAACGGTTAACGCCATTCTCATTCACAGAGCCTTTATTGCTTTTGCTCAGCGCTGCGATTCGAAAGAAAATAATCCCAGCTCTGAGAGAGTGGGTCCACGCTTGTCTGGCATAACTGTGCGCATGCGTGGCTTCGGATTTGCGGATGTAAAGAAAAAATTGTAATTTGCTTACCCACGAAACACTTAAGAGTTCTTAAAAACGCGATTAAACGTGTTCGTCCTTTCCAGATTGAATTGGAGTTTGAAGTGTTGGTTTTTGAGGACAGGGAAAAACCGGAGTCCCGGGAGAAAAACCTCCCGGAGCAAAGGAAAGAACCAACAAACATCATTTCTGAAATTTAGCCACGAGTTACAGAGTTGTTGTTTTGCTAGGCTGCAAACAAGCTCTCCGGGGCGCTCTGGCGGCGGGGAGCAAGTCAATAAAGTCGTTTAGATAGCGGTGAAGGCCCATGTTGGGAAAAGCACAAAACAAGTTGGAATTTAAAAAAATGAAGGAACAATAATTCTTTACCTAACACAGAAGCAAAATAAGATGCTGGCAAAGATGTAAAGGAGAAACAGAACTAATAACACAGTCACGTCTGAATATTTAAACACCAGGACCTACAGAAAGAATAAAAACAAAACTAAAGTAAGGAAAACTTTCAAAAGTGCGTAAAATACTGACATGTGATTGTCGATCCTTCACAAGGCGAATTATCTGAACAATCTGCAGGTCACAGTGGCTACATTTGTTATGTCCCAATATCCACATACAAATTCTCTACACTGATCTCCATACATTTCCTTTAAGAAACATAGGCACGTTTAACATGCATGAGCTACTTTGAATGCTTTAGTGTAAACCTTACCAAGAGTGATGAATCTACGTTTATCATGATGATGATGATGAACTTTATTCATGTGTCGATGTATTTAGCTGACGCTAATTGGGGACACAACATAAAGATAAAATAAATAATGAATAATACGATAAATAAAAGATAAGAAATAAAAAAGCTATAAAAGAAGCTATAGTATAATCCTATATATATTATATATATACATTTACAATATGCTAAAATAATCAAAACAATTTTAGGAACACGGGCACAACTTAAGAGGTACAAATTACGCACGCGGAGTAATTGTTGCCATTTATCAGTTCAGTAAGATCCTTACATCTAATATAAAACTTAAACCTAGATAGGCTGCTCGTTTCAGTGATGTTTTTATCTAGCTTGTTCCATAAAAAGGGTCCAAGATATCTAAGAGAGTGTTTACCATACAATACAGAATTAAATCTAGGAATATCAAAATTTTGGTTTCTAATATTATAATTACAAGACTTAGTACTGAAAATGTCACAAATGAAATCAGGAACTAGCCTATATTTAACCTTGTACATGAGTATATTTATGTTTTGTAATCTCCTATTAAGAAGGCTTGGTAGTTTAGCACGATCTAATAAGTTCATATACGTTTCTGAATGTGAGTTATAAACTATCCTTAGTGCCCTCTCTTGAATTCTTTCAACCTTTCTTGTATCCGACGCCTTACAGAAATGCCATGTGAGATGACAATAGGTGAGATATGCAGTGCCGTAGCCAGACCAAATGGCCAACCGAGGCAGGCGGGAGTTGCTAGGGGGGGTTCGAATGAATGAAAACGCGAAACGCTCTGCTGAGTCGATCCTCATGCTATATATTCACTTTCCCGCTCTGTCTTTCCCTGAGTGATACATCTGGTGCAAGTTAAACAAATTGTTAAAGTACAATAAATATCAACTCACCAAACGTAGATCAGAAGGAAAACTCTAAGGTTTCCTTGGAGTTTCTTAAGAAAATGTGGTTCATCGAATACCGAATAGTTACGAAATACCAGGATTTTTATCATTATGGTAGATGGTTGCATAATCATTCACGAGGTTTTCACGTGCGATTCTACTCAGTGAAAAAGTCTTTAACTCTGACAACTTAATTCTTCACGTTTTAAAAGCTATTGCTTCTTAAAAGACAAGAGCCTTTTTTAAGGCATTGGTTACAAAACGAAACTGGTCTTCATACGTTCAAGTTACTATTACCGTGAAAAGCCAACATGAGATGTGCAGTCACACTTCTGGTACGGGAAAGTGTTGGACTTTGCCCCCCTTTCGTGGTTCGTACGTGAGGGAATTGGACTTATGACACAGTAATATAGTAAACAGGATTATAAAAATAACTCATACACACAATTTGCACGTGAAGATGTTGGACTTTGCCCATTTTAAAATTTGTCAGTGAAAGAACGCATATTGTTTACGAGATTTATACTTTGCTCAAACGATTTTAATAAAGTTACAAACAACTGTACTGAGAGATGCAATCTCCCCCATTAATCTAACTTACCTTGAGTACAATGACAAATATAACAACAGAGATGAGAAGAAACAGCAAGTTTTTTGTGAACCATGCACTCCAGTGAACCCAGTTTGGCAGTCCCATCATCTTCATTGATTCCTTTAAGCGGCTCTGTTTCTCAAGAACCAGCTCCTAGCAAAATTATTCCACATAATAGTACATGTAAGTCATACATATAACAGAAAGTTTAGTCAAAACCTGTAACCAACCTCCAATTTTAAATACAACCACATAGGCTAGTACTAATAATGTATACCTGCCAACTTTTTCTGAGTTATAAGCGTGAGATTTTTATCCTGGGAGTGCTGGAATTTTTGCAGACGACACGATCATTTCCGAAGATTCCCGAAGAAGTCCGAAGTCTTCCGAAGACGTCCGAAGTCTGCCGAAGGCGAAGTTATCGAGAAAACACTTATCCACAAAATTAGAGATCGCGAGGAAGGTATTGTCATTTATTCATCTTACACATGATTTTCGTTCCTTACATGGGTCTGAGTTAACATATTTTTGAAAACTGTGTCAAGCAAGACGGCAACAACTCACATTTTTCAATCAGGCGTGAGAAATTGGCCCGTAGGCGTGAGCCGGCGTGAGATCGAAGTTTTCAACCCGCAGGCGTGAGAGTTGGCAGGTATAATAATGTACTGCAAACATTTTTCAAATGAACTAAACAGCACAGCTTTATACTAGTTTTAAATAGCAAAAAAATCGTTAAAAAGTTCTTTTTTTTGGGCAAACCCAACTACACTTGTAAGGAAAACGTTCATCACCTGTTTCCGCAGAATACAAGCCAAAACTATGCTATACTAGAAAGAGAAATCTCCACAATACTATACGTGCCAACTCTCACGCCTTGAGCGTGAGTCTCACGCCTGCGGGTTGAAAACTTCGATCTCACGCCGGCTCACGCTTGCGGGCCAATTTCTCACGCCTGATTGAAAAATGTGAGTTGTTGCCGTCTTGCTTGACACAATTTTCAAAAATATGTTAACTCAGACCCATGTAAGGAACGAAAACCATGTGTAAAATGAATAAATGACAATACCTTCCTCGCGATCTCGCCTTTGACAGACTTCGGACGTCTTCGGAAGACCTTCGGACTTCTTCGGGAATCTTCGGAAATGATCGTGTCGTCTTAAAAAATCCCAGCACTCATAGGATAAAAATCTCACGCTTATATCTCAGGAAAAGTTGGCAGGTATACAATACACTAATATCAAATACATGTAATAGATCTAGATTAGGAGATTTTTGAATATTAAGAAGGCCGAAAATTTTTCATGAGACGTTGTAACTTAATTTGTTTTGTTTCATACTAAGAAATACACCTTGCCCAAGCAAACATTGTTATTCTGAGAACTAAGGGAATTAAAAATGTTTCTGCACAAAACAATTATGACAAGAAAACGATTCCATTGTAACTGTATTACCTTGATAATTGTCATAGCTGAATACATCAGGCCCAACATAACCAGCAGTGGCATAAACAGGGATACCATATTCATCGCATAATCTGTTGTATAGTTTGGGTAAGGAAAAATCTGTACCAGCAGGAAAAACACAAAGTTATGGTTTGTGCAACAAGATTATATAATATAAGAACAAGCTAACCAAGACAGGACAAATTTATAGCAACTCCAGAAATTGACAATAATGATTATGGCAATGATGAAAATGATGATGATGAAATTGATGATGGTGATGATGATGGAAATGGAAATGGCGATGATGATGATGATGAAGGTGAGGATGATAAGATGGCTGCGATGATAATGATGATGATGTCACTGACTTTGATGATATTGATGGCTATGATGAAGATGGCAATGATGATGACGATGATGAAGACGATGGTAGTGATAATAAAGATGACGATGACAAAGGCAAACTTCCTAAAACCCCAATCCTCAAGACCATGAGGTTTTTGTTACCGTAAATTAACAAGTTACGCGGTGAAATTAACAGTGAAGGCCTACATGTAACCATTCATGTCTGCATAATTTATATACTCGCCTTCATTTTCACAGGAATGCCATGTGACAAGGCAGCTTGCATTTGCATGATAGCAGTATCAATTGCATACTGAAGTGGCAAAAACTTGTAATCATATTGGCTCCTGAGGAAAAAAAAGAACAGGATAAAGTGGTACAGTAGTTAGTCCCTTGCTCTCAAAGCTCAAATGTCAGCTGAAACGTCAGTAGATAATAATTTTATTCCATTTTGTAATATATGAAAACCAAAGGGTAGCATCTCATTTTGCATACTAGAAGTTCAACATTTGAACCTGGCCTAAAACATAAAAAAAAAAGTGGGTTTATTTCTTTAGTCATGGAGGCACTAAACAAAATCAAAGCTTTGTGTCAACCAACAAAAATGAACTTTGAAAACTACTTGGCTAGCAAGTTCAAAATGCACTACTGGAATCCATTTTGATTGGCTCCAAGTTTTTCCATCAATGCTCACTTTTGTTCTACATGTGGTCTAAGAAACGAGTTGACATTTCGCTATAATACCACCACTCGGTCGATCTCCCCACAAAATGTCTGAGGAACAAGCCCAGAAATATCATAATAATAACGTATCACTACCCGGATCTGAGTAACAGTTCTTCTGATTGGGTTGTGCCACAAGGGAAATTTACTTTGACTGATCTTCAACAGAATATTATGGGTATAGTGATAGGTCATTAGTATGGACATTTCTGCACTCATTCCTCAGACATCATTTCATGACTGGAGGTCATAAAACTGCTTGGCTTAACCTTCAAATAGCCGCAGTTTTTGAAAAGATCTTCAAGGGTGAATGGGTGAATTCATCATATAAGCAGCACTGTTTTAAGCACAATCGTGTCATAATGTGTGATACAGTGACAAAATTTAACGATGAATGTATGATGTCCAAATTCAGCATGTTTTCAAATAACTACAGTTACAATCAATATGCTGAGAGCTTATCATTTTATCTACCATGTAACAGGGCTATCTGGAATAAACTGTGGATAAGTCGAGTCTGTGTTCCATGGCGAATCGACCTCAGACCTCAAGCGAATGGCATACTTGACTTTCTTTGGAAGACTGTCCTCATCATCAATTAAAAACTCAATGGCTGAAATAAAAAAGGCGGGTGCATGTCTAATACCCTTGGTACACAATTTTGAGGTTGGTAATGTAAAATACAGTGAAACCTCTATTAAGAGGACACCTTTAGGACCTTCCTAAGTGTCTGCTTAATAGAGGGTGTCTGCTTAAGGTTTGCAAAAATTGAGCAATGTTTTTTAACGATTAACTTTCAACGGTAATACTCTGTACTGTGATAAAGTTCCACGTTGTTAAGGAAGCTAAGGAAGCGGTGCTGTACTTCGTGCAAAGACTTTCCGTCTAATCTACAGTTTACTGACAGCTAAATGTATTGATTTATCTTTATTAATTGACAACAGTACGTATTTCAAGGATGTAATCCACTACTACTATTGTCAAGACAATTCAGTCTGGTGTCCACTTAATAGAGGTTATTAACATTAATAGAAATTAGCCAAATACAATTTACTTTAGTGCCTGCATCTGCTTAATAGAGCTGTCCGCTGAATAGGGGTTCATAAGAAGGGAAATATATAAGACATTAATTTCGGGACCTGGCTTAGTGTCCACTTAATAGAGGGTGTCCGCTTAATTGGGGGTCCACTTAATAGAGGTTTCACTGTACAGCTGACTGAGATTTTCCTCAGTGAATACAAAGGACAATCACAATTGCCAGAATTATAAGCTCTGTAACTTGGAGCACTGTCATTTCAACCAACACTGCATTTTTCTTTTTCTTTTCTATTTTGTTTTGTTTTTCATTGTCTGTTTGCTTTTCTTCTTGCTTTGTTTTTGTAAAATTGTTTGTTGTTATTTTTTGTTTTCTTGGGTTATAAGGCATTTTGCATTTGCTTACCCCCAAAATAGTAGTTTTGATCTTTCTCAGATACTTCAGCAGCCATACTAGCCCCAGATGACCATGGCTTGCCAGTAGTGTTACTGGTACTAACAGCTTCCAAACCTGTAATGTTTTCAACTCTTGCCATCAACTTCGACACTAAAAAGAATTAAAGTAAGTATGAATGACATATATTGTATCAAAATATTATGTGCAAAACTATTTAAAAACAATAAGTGAGTTGATTTCTTAATCCTTAACTCACTTTTGTATACAATTCACCACTTTCACATTGACCAAAAAAAGCCTTGTTTATCCCCCCAAAATTTGCATAAGCATTAATTTTCAATCATCATGTCGTCATTATCACCATAATCTAAAGTGGCATTCTGCAGTGTGTTCTAGTTACAACCACTTTTTCGAATTTCAGAGACCGTCACTTACAAGAGCTTCAACTGCGTTATTATCGTTATCATTATCATCATCATCATCATCATCATCTAACTTGGAATCTAAAACTGATACCTATTTCAGTTTGTGGGAAGAAAGCCAATTTTCCACCATCGTACTTCATGTTGCTCACATCAATCTCTGTTGATTGATATACAGCTAAAAGAAAGCAAAACACACTGTTGTGGCATTAAGTTTCACATATATACTGTTCACTTTATGGCAAATACTGATTTGTCTAAAATAAACCATCAGTTTTGAGGGAAGGGGGTGTGGGTACACAGGGGAAAGGGATAGGTATGTCCACATGCAAAATTAAGGGGCCAATTTACAGAAGTGTCTCAACACTTTAGTACCTCATTACAGCTTCAAAATATTACTGAATTTTTCAGTTTTGTTAAGGAATGACACTTACAAAAACATTCGTCTCGTGCTGATGGTGATGTCCTAATAGAGGGAAAAGAAAATGTTTTAGTGGTATTTTTTTTATTAAAAAAAAGAGGTGCAATTGCCTGTCATAAAACTTCCCAACTTGTGCCTGATCCACAGCAAAGTTCTTGCAGTTCCTGTTCTCACAGCAGAAAAATAAGAGTAATCTACAATTTTTTACCACAATTTGTAAATGTACAAAATGTACACTTGCTGGCAAAATATACAGTTAAATGCATGTGAATATACTTACAATGGAATTAGAATAAGAATGCCCATCACAACAATCGGAATGAGGATTTCAAAAACAGTCCCAATAGGTCTTCGTTTCTGTTGACATAACCAGGAATAAACAAATACATATTACTCAAGCCACAGCTTGCTGGTTAATTTATTCATGATTTTCTCAAAACCTTTTCTCCTGAATATATATACATGGACTATTAGAAAATTATTCACATTGGTCACATTTGAATCATGAAGTGTTGAGAAATCAACAGTGCATTACAAGCCACTAGGAATTAGAAGCCCAGAGTTCACAACCTCCATTTTGTGGCATGAAGCATCAAAAAAACCTACAGTAGAAGCACTGCTTCTCCTCCTTCCTGATTGGGATGCTAGGCACAAGACCTAAGCCACTGAAGGGTTACCCTCAGTGGGTGAGAGAGGGAACGGGGAACAGGGGAGAACCAGAAGGTCCGCCAACCCTCCCACCTCTGGTACACTGGATTGCCAGTTCCCATCCCTTACTTCTTGGGTTCCTCCCATTAGCCCCTTTCAAAAAAAAATATAAAGCATTTTTGCATAATTTTTCCCTATTTCTCCCACTTCCCACCCTTTTAGAATTCCCACCCCCCCAATACTCTCTGACCTCCTGTACTCCTCCTTCTTCCTATTCTCCCAGGCTCCTAACCCCTCTGTCCTTCTCAATTAGGGGGACAAACAGGAGAAAAATTAATTTTCTCAAGAAACAACCCAATGGTAATATTTGAACCCAAAACTGCAAACCCCTCAGTGTGGTCATCAGTTGCAGCCCTTGGCTCTATGAAGACATTTATTGCAAAATCTTTGCTTTAAGTGGGTCATTACAAGCAAGCATCCACACTGGTTTCCACTGTTTTAACAAAAACAGTCAGATTTTTCGTAAAATTTATTTTTTTTTTTTTGATGAGGAAAAAAAACTTTCTAAGTTAAAATCTGGCCAATATCCTGCCAGAATGACTCCAAAAGCCAGAAAAGGTGACTTAAGGGAAGTCAAACGCAAAAAAATTCCCAGGGGCGCATGCCCCCACACCCCGCTAGAAACTTGCGCCTTTTGCATGCACACGTTTAGGAAATTGGTCAATATTTAACCTAGGTCTGCGCCTACATTGAGGCCAGGAACAAAACTCAATGAATCTTATGCTAATGAGCAAAAACAATAGATTTTGCTTATTCACATTGCATTTGTCACATGTAAAGAATGGTGTTTGACCTAGAAAGAGAGGAATCAGCACATATGATTATTTTATCACTGAGATCATAAAGTTTATGCATCAGTCAATTCCAGCTGCACCCAACCCCCCTCCCCCCTTCCTTGACCTCACCCCCGTGAATTACCATTATTTTTCCCTTGGATGGCAAACTCCCAGGGTGGGGACTCTCGAGCTGTCAAATCCCGGGGTGGTGATGAAAAAGAGGGCAAATACCCCATCCTCCGTCAACACTGCAACATTTTTCATTGATCGCACCATCAAGGAGTGCCATTTTAAGCATTTTAATGTGCGATTTTTTGTTTCAATAAACGTCTTCCTTTGTAATAGTGCTATTCTAATTAAGACTTCACGCAGTGACGACATCAGTCTATAGTTTTAGATTATGTTATAAAATTATTGACATTAAAATTAATAGTGCACCATAAAGTTAACTGCTATGAATAGTTTTATAAATATGAAAGGATGTTCTTCAAATAATATCAAGAGAAACTTGATTCAATAACCAAAAAAATGTTGATTCACCTCGACAGCTTCTGAGCTTTGCTATGTAATTCTGGCTTGATAAGCAATGAAGACATGCGTGCATAAAATCGAGAACACACCTTTACAAACCTCTTCAATTTTTTCCCGTCCTTGACAAACAAGCGAATCTGCTTGTTTTTCTAGTAAAATCCTCTGTGTAGTTATATTCTAATAGGAAGCCGCGTGCATGTCAACAGGCAAAGGTTGGCAAATGCCCGGCCCCCAGGCAGCGCAAGATTTGCAAATGCCCCACCCCCGGGACTGACAAGGCGGGCAAATGCCCCGTAGCTATACAGCTGTTTAGAGATTTAAGAAAAATAATACCATAAAGCATAAAGTAGAAGAACACGTCCATTCCTAATATATCATCGAATTATAACATCAAATTTCCTGCTCTAGAGTATGAGCGCGTTGCTGGTGGAGCTGATAATAAAATTTTCTCCTTACAAAGTGTTGTTGAATTAAATCAGTTATGAGTCGTGAACATAATTGCCCTTAAGGTCTCGGTAAATGAAAATTTTAGTACATTGCTCGATTTTTGTTTTTGGGATTTTTGGCATGAGTGGGTCCTAAATTTTATTTTGGAAGAAAAAGAAAATCAGAAAGTGCTTTTTAACCCTTCTAAAATGAGCCTTTTCTGAGCTAACCAGCCAAGCGTGGACCTCGCTAAATCTTTAGAGCTGATTTTCTCTCACTCTATTTTAGACGCAAAAATCAAAATTCTCCGACCTCCAGTCGGGACAGGTTTTACGCTATCGCTTTGAAACTTTCAGATACGATGGATAATGATATAGACTCAAAAAGGGTGTGAGGAATTTTCCGATTTCCCTTTGTAACTCATATTATGCCAGTTTCTTTGCGTAAATCGCTCGAGATTCGACTTTTTAGTTTGAAATGCAATAATTCCGCTAATACGAGACATATGCAAATTTACTCACAACATTTTTTAGGTCTTTTATCTGTCAATCAGATGCAATAAAAAGGAAGTGAATATTTAACAACGCGAAAGGGCTGGAGCTTCAGCAGTAAACTCGATACCTCTGAGTTCGAGAGCAAAAACTTAAGCGCCTTTTGAAATTCGATGAAATAAAATCTTTCATAAGGTAATTTAGTCTTTTAGCTTTAATTTGATATATAACTTGCCTTTGTAGCGAAAATACTCGCGCGACTAGAATTTTTTTCTGTGGGCACCTCGTTTTCCTTTACCGAGACCTTAAGTAAAAGGTTAACGAGATTTATGAACCGAGCTCTAGAATACAGCAGAACCTAGAGCGGTCAGATAGAGAACTTACTTGAAGCAAAAAATTCTTCCATATCAGCAGTCGAAATTTCCTAAAATAATTCGCCATATTCGGGGAGTTTCCACCTGCACGTGAAGCTGGTTTCCAACAATAGAAGCCCGAAAAGGTGGCCGAATTCACATGTACAACGATGCCTTTTCAGTCAATCTCATAAAGAAGAAAAACACGAACAGACAAAGCAGAAAAGAACATGAGAGGCACGTTTTATGAGGTAGATTTTTGAAACTACGGTTCTACTACTCGTAGTTACGTAGTATAAAAAATAAAAGGCAGGTTGTAATAATACCGTAGTAGCGTAGTGGCGTAGTAGCGTATAGCGTGTTGTTGTTCCCAGGCCTTTCGAAGATGGCGTCCAAAAAGCGAAAGGTCGACTTTTCGGCCGAAGCTATCTTGAGCGAAATTAGCCAGGCTCGTGAATTCGCGCAAACTGTGCAACAGTTTCGGGAAAGTCTTAGTCTAGTGAAGATAAAAGAAATGCTGGGAACGGTGCAGACGGTTAACTTCGACGTCGCCGGCTTACTTGCACTCCTTCTCGGATTCGATGTAGTCATGTGGACCATGCTTGCAATTAACCACGTCCCAAAAGCGTTCGATCGTTACAAGAAGTCCCGTAGTGGCATTATTCACAAAATAGTCGATTTCCTTTGCCCTCAAAGAGGGCTCACGCTTGAGATTATGGAAGAAGTCGTCACCTTTCTCGACGAATTTGGTTCCAACTGGTCCTTTTTTGTGAACGATTACACCAGCGAGTTTGAAACGGCGTTGTTGCGGCTAAATGGCAGTGGCAAAGTAAATTTTAGTAGGTTCATAGCACCTCCCGTGACGGACTGCCTCCACTGTGGATCAATTCTCATCGCTCCAAATCCACCAAGCAGCGGTATTGTGTACACATTGCGGGGTCCACAACCGTTAACAAAGCTCAACCTACGATGCCAAAACTGCAAGGTAAGTTTACCAGTTCCCAGTCCCGCCGCGTAGCACCCAACGCAGCTAGGTAATGTTATCCGAGAATTCTTCGTTGTCACTGTCACGCAATAAACACGGCACAAACAAATAAATTAGAAACCGCCCAGTGGAAGAAGCCAAGAAAACGAAATGTTATGAAAAAACTAATATATAAACAATTTGTCGAAATCTCAGGTCTCTGTGGCCCACAGTTTCTGAGTTATTTGGCGAAACGTTTCACGCACCTTTGTAGAGCTTTGTATGGAGACGGCAATTTCAACTTGTTCACGGCAATTTCAATTTGCTCACGGGAATGTGAATTTTTTTACGGCAACGCTCACGGCGTTTTTCGCTTCGCTCACCACCTGTCAATCAACTCAGTGGAATCGTTTTTAGGAGATACTTTTCCTGATGTAGTTCACTAATTTTTCTAACAAGGTGAATGGAGCAACGAGGCAAACAAACTTAATTACAATTGAGGTCATAATTTTGCCTAGGCAAAGAGTAGCGATTTGAGTACCGGCGATGTGGGCAATCTGAATTAAGGTTTTCTTGTTCATTTAAAAACTTTTTTTGGTATTGATCACCTGAAGCAAAAGAATGAATACAAAAAGAAGGAATATGTACAATTAAGAGACCATTCTCTTAATCGAAGATGCTTTCTGACACCTTTTTTTTTTATTTCACTGTACGTAAGCTTTATTGTGTATTTGTCAATAACAATCAAAACTGATTTTAGAGTATGCATTTCATTATTTTTTTTATTTAAAAAAAAAGGATATAAAAAAGGATATTTCTCTTACAAACAGTGTAAATCTACAGTTACAATGTAGTTACATTTGCTGTTTCTTATTTTTATACTAGGTATCATATGGTTATTCCATGACGACTAACACAAGTGGTGGCTCGTATTACTATCCCAAGGAGTTAAACAGTACTTGTGATTTACTAGAAGTCTCTAATGTAACATACATGGAGAAAAAGTTATATTGCTGGCTTCCATCGCTAATGTAAGTTTATAGTGGATAAAATATTACACGGTGTATTCATTCATGTTTATATGATCCAGTCTGTGTACCGCATTAAG